GCCAAAAAAATAAAAGAAAAATTGTTGAAAAATAGAATCTAGTATGAAAAAAAGAAAGATTAAAAATAAAAATCTAGAAAAAAAAAGGTGGAAAAACAAAACTTGGAAAATAAAACTTAAAAAGTAAAAGCAAATTTGAAAAATAGCGGTCAGACTTTTGCATATACAGTATGAAATACAGCCCATAGCTCCTTTTTAATTCAAAGGCTTTGAGAGATTTCCAAAGTTAAATTTTAGAAACAACCCTTTAATTTAATAACATCTGAACAAATATCTCTATAGTTCTACAAAGTATTGACTCTAAGAGGCCGAATGCAAATTCTTTACTTTTAAAAAACTATTTTTTGTTGGTACCGATTTTAAAAGCATTTCTCCTTTTCCTTCCACCTCACATAAATCGAATCCATTCCATCACGTTAAATGCCACAGAATACGGAGAGTTTTGTGGTTCTATCGTGAAACTATAGCTTCGATTTAAGGTTATTTTATGTTGAGTTTCATCTCAATTTCTTTAAATCTAACAGCAGTAAATCTGTTTCTCCTCCCAGCGGTTGGGCGGTGCTGTTGGACCGCAGCCAGAGGAAACTGCAGCTCGTTCTGCTGCCTCCAGCCCTTTTCATCCCCGTTACTGAAGACTCTGCGCTGAGGCAGGAGAGCCTGGAGGCCGTTCCCTCTTGCGTTCAGCCGTTCATCATTTATGAAGAGACCACCGACGTGTGGATAAATGTAAAGACATTTTTCTGGGCTCTATTAGGATAAATGAGGGGATAATTCAACAGTGTAATGTGATTTTATGTTCTTTATTATTACAGGTTCATGATATATTCTACCCCTTTATTCAAACAACAGAGGATGAGTTTACTTTCATTTGGGTAAATGAGTCTAAAACAGGCTTCAGCCACCTCTATAAAATCACATCACTGCTGCAGCCCGGCTGCTACCGCTGGACAGACGGATACCAGCATGTAGAGGGTAGGAGACGCTTCCCCTCAGATCGTCCGCTGTTCAATGCAGTTTCAGTTACTTCAATATCAATTCCCTTCCCCAGGAAACTTTAAATGTACGGTGAAGGAGGAGGTAACATTGACCAGCGGCGAATGGGAAGTTCTGGCCAGACACGGTTCAAAGGTAAGGCGAGGATTTCCCCCTGATTCTTGTTTTATAGTGGATTACAGGAACCTCATTCTGATTCACACAAACAATGAATAATATCCTGTTGTTTATAATTCTGTAAATAAAACCAACGGATAAGCAAAATGCGCAGGGTAGCGGCGCTACCAGCCGATGCTCTAAAGTCAGTGACTTTTTAAGTCCAGGTCCGAAATGAAAGAGTCCAGCTAAATGAAAGTAAAAAAAAAAATTTAATCCAGGAATGAAACTTTGAAAAATTTCTTTATAAGGAAAAAGTTTTTCATAGTAACTTTGCTATTTTCTCAGATTTAATAAAAAAAAATGTTTTTTTCATATTGAATTTTACTGATTTCATTACTTTCAAACTATGTTTTTCAGACCTTTTTCTCTTTACTTTCCTCTGTAGGACATTAGCAAGAATATATTTATGATCAAAAGTGAGCATTTATATTGGGCCTAAAATAAAATTTGAAGAACATATTTTTGAATAAAATCTAACCGTTGAAAAAATAGAATATGAAAACAATTTTGAAAGAAAAAAAAATTCTTAAAAACAGCAGTTACTGTCAAAATCATTTTTTGATCAAGATTTTTTTTCATGTTCCGTATTTTCCGGACTATTAAGCCGCTTCTTTTTTTCCCGCGCTTTAAACCAGGCAGCTTATGAGAAGGTGCAGCTTTTCGTTTTTTTTTTCCCTAACCACCACAGGGGGAAGCTCTTACTGCTGCGAGCTAACAAGCTAACGGGAGCTAGCTTTCTGCTTCGGCCTTATTCAGGGACTCTACTATATGTAGAGCTCCCCCTACAGGTTTGTCGGGAGACAGTTTAGTAGATATCAGCACCTTATACACTGGAAATAATTGAAATCTAGATAAGTAATTTTTTCTTTAAATAAGTGTATTTGTTCTTGGATTGAGGAGGTAAAAGAGCCATTTTGCCAATGGAACAAGACAATTTACACTTAAAATAAGAAAACACAATTGCGTTGTCATATTTCAAGTGCATATTATCTAATTATCTTATTTTAAGAGTAATAATCCTCATTCCATTGGCAAACTATCTCATTTACCTACTCAAGTTAAGGGTAAATACACTTAATTTAAGACATTTTTACTTATTTCGAGGTCATTTTCCAGTGTAGCCTGAGGCGGCTTATATATGTTCGTTTCCAGTTTTTTTAAAAAGTGTAGTGGGCACGGCTTATAGTGAGGTGCGCTTTATAGTCTGAAAAAATACGTTAATTTCTGGATCGCATTTTTTTGTCTAACTTCTATTTACAAATTTACGTACAAATCAGAAATGTTTTTGCTTTTGTCTCTGTTTATCACTTTTAAAAAACAATTAATATGTAAATTAGGGCTGAAACAATCAATCGGATCCATCATGATTAATTGATTATTGAAATAATCATCAACAATTTATTTATTTATTTTTTTATTCCTTTATTTAACCAGGAAAAGTCCCATTGAGATTAACAATCTCTTTTTCAAGAGAGTCCTCGCCAAGACAGCGGCAAAAGATTACATTACAGTTTAAAATTACATCTATCTATAATTAGAAATTCATAAAACAGTTACAAACCATAGATCTCATTTCCAAACCTTTGAGCAATCTTTTAAAATGTCCGATTTGGAATCAAATCCTTCAACTTCCAGTCTTTCTGAAGATTGTTCCATGCTGTGGGGGCAGAGTACTGAAAAGCTGTCTTTCCAGCTTCAGTGCGGACACTAGTTACAGACAGAAGCAAAGACTGCTGAGAACGTAGAGAATATAGTCCAGCCGCTCTTGGTTGAATGTACTCACAGAGGTATGAGGGGAGCAGACGCTGAATACCCTTATAAATCATCATATACCAGTGAGTGAGTCTACGAGTCTCTAAAAGTTCACAGTGGTGTGTGCAAGGCTTATAATTTGTGATAAATCGTAGGAAGGCATGGTCAAGAGAAACAAAGCCTATTCCTGAAGAAGAAGCCAATTTTCAGTCTGAGTTTCTTGATCAATTGTTCAACATGAGGTTTAAAATTTAGACTTTCATCAATTAAAATTCCTAAATATTTAAAAGATTGAACCCTTTCTATCTCTGCAAAATAGCTATCCTCTTATCACTTTGCATGGGTCAATTTTGTCTTTGTTTTTGAAAATAACATCATTTTAGTTTTATTTGAATTTAAAGAAAGATCTCGTTTTAAAAGCCGTTACTGAACCGAATTAAAAGCAATTTGTAAAGTAGAGACACATGCACCATGTCATCAGCATAACAATGGTAGTTAGTGTCTATAAGATCCTGGCCAACATTGTTCACATAGATAGTAAATAGTAGAGGCCCCAAAACGGAGCCTTGGGGCACTCCTTTAGTTAGTGACAACGTACTAGAACAAATTTGATCCGATTTGACACATCGGGAATTACTGAACTTATTAATTACTGATTTTATTCGACTAATCGTTAACTGGAGCATAGAGACTCTATAACATATCTGTGGCTCACAGAGAGACCCACCAAAAAACATTTTGCCTTTATGATTTATTTACTTTTTTTGTCTGTCAATATTTTCTATCCAGAAGTCCTCACATGGAAACGTTTGAAGTTTCACCTGGTTTACTTTCATAAAAAAAATCTTCTTTCAGGAACCTTTGGCTATCCGATTATTAATCGAAAAAATAATTGTGACATATTAAGCGATTTGCAAAAATAAACGTTAGTTGCAGCCTTAATATAATTGCTGTTTACCGTTTAAAGTCGTCTAGAGATTCTGTCATAGACTTTTCACTAACATCTTCAATTTGGAAACATCAGGATTGGATCACTCCTCTTTTCTGAGCTGAATTCTTGTTTCTTTTGAGCAGATTTTATCCTGCTGTTAGATGTTTGCGTGGCTCATTGCTGCCTTTATTGCCTCCAGTGTCCTGTGGTGTAACCTTACTCTCACCGTTCTCTTTCTAGATCTGGGTGAACGAGGGAACCAAGTTGGTGTACTTCCAGGGCACCAGGGACACGCCTCTGGAGCACCACCTGTACGTGGTCAGCTACGAGTCGCCAGGCGATGTGGTCAGGCTAACGAAGCCTGGATTCTCCCACAGCTGCTCCGTTAGTCAGGTACTCCTTCCTTTGCATCCTTAGCTCTGAACCCTGATGTTCCTCATGGTTCTGTTGTTCAATTCAGGTCACAGATTAGATTAGATCCGGACCCACCTGCAGGCTAATCTGGACTCAGCCTAATTTAAAACATTTATAAATTACTGCATGTTGTCTGATGAGAGTTTCTAATTTCACTTGCGCCTCTTCTCCTGTTAATACGGTAAAGCCCTCCAGGATCAGGCTGCACGTGATCCAAATGAGCCAATGAGCTGTCAGTCTGGGTTGCTGCTGCTGCTACTTTTAGACACAGCAGGCAAACCTGTGGCAAGCCGGGCGATGGGAAAGAAGGAGAAGACCATGAGAAAAAGAGAGCAGAGAAAGTGTGGACTGCTGGAAGAACTGCGGTGAACTGGTGAAAGAAAAGTGAAATGGCGTGCTCAAAGATGACCCTGCACATTTAGAGGATGTTTGGCTCAACCTGCTGCTGTGAAGCAGGATTCTCCACCATGAACAGAATCAACAATAAATCTGGATCCAGGCTCAGAATGAGCACCTTGATATGTGCTTGAGAATGGCTTAGTCTCTGGTTAAACCCAGGTTTAAAGCCTTGCAGGGCAGCCTAAAGCCCACTGCCAGCATTAAGACAGAAAGAAAATAAGAATCGGTCAGTTCAGGGGTTTTATAGAATATGTGAATCAGGAAATTGTCTAAAAACCAAACTGAACGATTGTTGTTCTTTACTTCAAAAACAGTTACAGCTTTTAAAATTAAGGATCTATTTTTTTCTTAATTCAATGTATATCATAGATGCATAAACACCTCATTTTATTTCAGTGTTAAATTCAGTTTAAAGTAACAGATTATAATTAAAAAGGTCAGAGGTTTACACATGATAATGTGTGACAGTTCCTGTGCAGTTTTATTGAACAGCTGACTGATCATCACCTGCAGCCACACACGGCTGGATAGAGCGTGACGTTTACTATTCTGTGAAAACCATTTTAAGTTAAAACAACAGAACATTTCTAACAGGTCAAATGCCTGTAACTTCAAATAAATTGATAAAAGTCTGTCTTGCTGTCATTTCTCTCTCTCAGAACTTCGACTTTTTTGTGAGCCACTACAGTAACGTGAGCACGCCTCCTTGTGTTCACTTATACAAGCTGACCAGCACAGAGGATGACCCGCTGCGAGTGGTTCCGGAGTTTTGGGCGAGCTTGATGGAGCCACCAAGTAAGGATTGACAAAAAAAAACTAATCTTTTCAGCAACTTTTAACTATTTATTACGGTTAAATTTGGGCTCTGTGTACTTTTTGTTTTTTAAGTCTAAGAACTGCAAACATCTTAAAGAGGTGGAGCCACCACAGGGTTCCTGCAGGTCCTTAAAAAGTCTTGAATACAGTTAATAATAAAATGGCCCTTCCCAGTTAAACGCCAGTCGAATAGCAGCCAACTATCCCTGCTCCTGTAAAGTCCTATAAATGAACTAAGACATTCACTACAGTACTAATGTTAGCCTTTGTTCATAAGTAGGATCAATAGGGGGTTTTCA